GTATGCATGTGTCACTGTAGTAGGCTGACTTTATTTCTTTAGGATAAATACTGACGACTGGTATAACTGGATCATATGGTGGTTCCATTCCTAGTCTTCTGAGGAAACTCCATATGCATTTCCACAGTGGTTGTGCTAATTTACAACCTACCAACAGTGTAAAAGTGTTCCTTTTTCTCCACAGCCTTGCCAGCAGTTTTTATTATTACTTGTATTGTTGATTCCTGCCATTCTAACTGGTATGAGATGAAATCTCAGTGTAGTTTCAATTTGCATCTCTTGGAGAGAGCTTAGACAACTTTTGACCCCAAGCTAGACTTTCTTTAACTACTAACAATCTCAGGTACCCCCCCAAAAATGACATTTCATGGGAGAATACATTTGGTCTAATCTCACCTAATTTATCTAGGTTTTGATCACTTCAACACTCTTTAACCATCTCAACCATACTTCATCCAGTTCTTTATTAAACCTCTATCTTTTGAGTCTTTTCCTAAATTCTAGGTACTATTATAAGCTTTATGGACTCAAAGATCAATGAGACAGAGAAGCAGGTGTTTAGCTTCAGAACATCATTTAAAGACTTGTGTGTATATGAGGGTCAGGGGAGAGGAATGACCCAGACCATTTCATTTAAAACCATTTTAGATGTAGGATCTTGAGATGGGCTCTTGGATCCTCTCACTCCTGCCTTCATCTCTGCCTGCTATCCACCCAGCCTCTCTTTTCATCCTATGAACCTCACATTGACTTCAGTTCCATCCCAGTTTCTGGAATTTCTATGGTCATCCCTCTGACCAGACAATGTTCAAATAGTATTAGAAAAAAGATCTGCCTCTTCCCCCAAAAGTCAGGTTTTGGACAATATACAGCATGAATAATAAAAAAAAAAAACCTTGAGAGGAGTAGGGAGAGAACAATGGAATGAAAATTCTGCATATCTTAAAAGAGGTGTGTGTGGTTTGCCTCCACAGCTAAGAAAGGGAGCTATGAATAGCATGCTGCTAATCATGACTACAGAAATCCCTTTTCGATGGCCCTTTAAAATGTGGCAATAATCCAAGTCATTTTGCCTTCTTGATAATGAAGATTTGACCTACATGTAAGGTCCAATAGCTTATAGTGTCTAAGTGCTGTAATACTTTAGAACCCTGATCAGCAGCGACAGCCCTCACTCCCTCTGGTGATCAACTTAACACTTGGTGAGACTCTCTATCCCGGTAACAAACACAAATGGATGAGGAAGCTTATGTGCACACGTATAATTGAGACAATTCCTAGCAGTGCATCCAACTGTAATCCAAGTTAAGTGTGAGCTTCCAGGAAGTTTGGGATAGAGAGATTTCCTCCTTTAATCTGGGGCCTTATTTAAGTATGCACAATCGTTAGGAAATCTGCTCTGCTCTTAAATATCTCCTGAACCTGCTGCTAGAAATTCCATTATTAGAAATGTTTCTCCTTTATAAACTAACCTTTCCATTGTTAAGTTCAAGAATTTGAGTGCATCCGGCAGGAAGTTACAATCAATTTAGTCAATAAACATGTATTGAGTGTCTGCCTCTGCCGTAGGCCTGCTAGGCTTAGGACTCAAACGCATTCCTTGATTTAAGCATGGTGTAGTCTGAGCACAGGATTCGAAATGATGGAAACTAAAAGTCCTTATTCAATAAAAACAAAGATCACCAGACTCCATCCTGAAGCTTCTGACTCAATGGATCTGAGGTACTTCAGGCGATTTTGCTTCGGAGTCCAAGTTAAGATTCAATAAATAGTGTAAGAAAGAGATATTCATAAAATAAATCATTACAATCCATGTTTAAACTTTATAATAGAAATATCTATGAAGGGCAATAGAGAAGAAATTTATTATCAATGGAGATGAAATCGGAAGTACATGGGGAAGACCTGGTGTTTAAACGAGGCAGTGATGGGTGAGGAGAGTTAATTTGGGAGACAGGTACACCAGAAGGGTATCCCAGACAGAGCCAAGAACTTGTGCAGCTGCCGAAGAGGGGAAATGGGTTGGCAAGCTCGCTGGGCAATTCATCACCTGCTATGATTTAAGCATAAACCCACGGAATATGAGGATACGTGGGCAAAGGAGATAAAAACTGAGAGAATTTTCCAAAAAGCCACCAAACAATACATTAAGGGAAAATGCCATTAAGCTACTAATTTAAGTGTAAATGTATTCATTTATGTATTCACTCAACAAATATCATTGAGTACCCTGCTGGGCTCACTCAATAATTCCTCAGATAGTTAAAGATCACAGGATGGAAATAGGACAGGATGATGTGTCGGAGCATAGAAGGAAAAACGGGAATGCTCAGAGATGTCCCACTTTGCATTTCAATCTAAATTGTTGAAAATGTTGGGGTTACAGCCCCAACCATGGAGATTCCTGACACGAATGTAAATTTGTGTTTGAGTAAGGATCTGGAAGGAGATGGGATAATGTGAAGATCATTTGTAACTGTGTATTGCTACACAAATATCCTGTCTGCTACAGAGTCATAAAACAATGATATGTGAAATGTGAGAGATTCCTGGCCTCCAGACAGGTCATTACAAAAGTCCTATTTCCCTCCTGTCAGGTATCTTCAAACCATAAACTTACAGAAGCAGGAATTGACAGCACATGTCAGAAAAGAAAGAAGTTTGAGGTCTAGCTTTTGGTCCCTGAAGTTACTATCATTAACATCTCCCATCAGGAGCCCCAAAGCCATAGATGCTGATTCTGCTCAGGAAAATCTCATTCGTCTCCAAATGACAGATTTAAGCCAGGCCATGTATGCTGCTAGCCATTTTATCTTTCCTCCTGTCCTTGTGATGTGTTCCATTTTCTGATTTTGAACTTCTTGGGGGACTTCTGGGGTATTTTTCTGGTTTTGCTTTTTCTTTATTGTCACCGTTGTTATTTTTCATTTGCTTTATTTAACTTTTTTTTTTCATTGTGGGAAGATACAATAAGGACTGTACTGATGTGACTGATGACCAACAAGGAGGCCAACGACAGTGACAATGTTGCTTTCCCGGTGTGAAAAGCAGTGCTCCCTGGATATTGGTCACCCACATCTGTCGAACCTGACCTTTGCTACCATGTCTTCGAGATGCAACTGGCAGGACACAAAAAGTCCTAGCTGACCACCAAGTGGGGAGGCACAACCTGATCCCATGTACTTCATCTCTGCTTTCTCACATTCTCACAGAAGTAACCAAAGAGGATCTGGATTAGCTCTGGAATCCAGGGTGGGAGCCAACCCATGCCAGGCACGGGAGGAATTTCCTAGACACACTGTGCAAAAGGTTTGGAGTGAACATAGAAGGTGGAGGGTAAAGACAGGGCTAATGAGGTCCGCAGGGCCACAGCATGCTGTCCCTGTGGCTCATAGGAGGGGTGTTTTACTTGTCCATGAAGCCATCTAAATAGGAGCATGAAATGAATTTCTGTTTTTCACAGATTAATCTAGTTACTGTAAAGAGAATAGACTGAAAAGGAACAACAATACAAAAGGGAGACCCATTAAGAGATCTGGATGAAGAGCCAGGCACCGTGGTGCACGCCTCTGATCCCAGCGGCTTGGGAGGCTGAGGCAGGAGGACAGCAGGTTCGAAGCCATCCCAGCAACTTAGCAAGGCCCTAAGCAACTTAGCAAGACCTTGTATGAAGAATTTTAAAAAATTTTAAAAAAAGGCTGGTTATGCACCCCTGGGTTTAAACCCTGGTACCAAAAAGAAAAAGAAAAAAAAAAGAGATCTGGATGGAGGGTGATAGAAATGGAAATGGAATTAAGCAGAGGGACTTCCCGTGTATTTTGAAGGTACAATGATCAAATTTGGTGTTTGGTTGGATTTCACAAAGCGTGGTCTCCAGTGGTGTGATTAGTGGATGATTTTTATACACTTTTCCTGTGAGTTTTAAACAATGAACATCGATACTAATTCAACTACTTTTTAGACTTAAAACTAAAAACAACAACAATATTTCTTGAGTACACCACAAAGGGATAATAACCTAGGTCCTATACAAGGCAGAGACTGGAGAAGTCCCTTCAAAATAAGAAAAGCTCGTGGAAGAAAAACAAAAACAGCCTTTGGGACGAACAAAGGGGTAGGAATGTTTGTATCTCTGTTTGGGTAGCTCAGTGCTTGTCAGCTATTTTTTCCCCCAGCACAAACAAAACCTACTCAGAGGTCCTGTAAACAGCAGGGATCAGAGGGCGCAGCTCTGGTGGAAGAGACTGGATGCCTCAGTCCCACCTGCTGCACTTCCTCCTCGGTTACGCCCCCCTCCAGTCCTCCTGGCCCAAGAACAAAGGCCGTGGCACATCTTGGGGAGGGATCAACAGTGGTTTTTCTTTTCCTGTTCTGTTTTCTTGGCTTCAGGGATTTCAGCAGAGGCTGCTCTGTTTGATGTGTGGACGAGGACGGTCAAAGCTGAGTGGAAGCCTGAGGTGAATCCTTAGAAGGTGAAGCCATGGTTATGCACTGGCTAGAACGAGGTTTCACGGAGGCAGCGCAGCGCTAATTGGAAAGACGCCTTGGATGACCAAACACAGCATTAGGTGGGGAAACAAGAAAAAATAAAGACTTTCTCTTTCAAGAATAAAAAAATGAATGAGAGATGAGAACATGATTTGCAAGGGAGGTGCCAGCGCCCAGTTGGGGTTGAACCCTGACTCTGATCTTCCCTCTGAATCCAGGTCTTTGATAAGGGACACCTGAGCATGTCACACCACGCTCACTTCCCCTTGTCTGTGACCACGTGAAGAAATGTGATGGTTCCTACCAAATTCAGTGGCAGCACAGCTCCAAACCTGATGAGTGAAGGAGGCTGATTATTTCATTTCATTCACCTTATGAAAAAAAGCAACTAACCTACCTTTCAGACTTATCTGTCTGGGGAGAGGTTGGACAAGGATTCGGTTGCAGGACATTCTTTTTCCACCTCAATCTCTCTATTCTTACAGTTTCCATGACAACTGCCCCGTTCTCACATGACTGCCCGCTCCTGGCCACAGACACTGCAGGAAGCTGTGAACATTCCCAAGTTGGAACAACCTTCCCACTTTAGGCCCACAGTCTAGCTTTTCCTCCAATGCAATCTAACCCATATTGGGCCTCTGGTATGTCACCAAAGCTTCTAATCATTTGAAACCATGGTTATCAGTTCATCTTTTTCTGGTAACTAAAGAGGTAAGCCTTAGAATTCTGTCTTCTCCTTCAGGAGGTGAAGGGATACACTTGGTATAGCTAAATAGTGGAATATCATACAGCTGAAAAAAAGACACACATGATTTGCATGTCAACTTATGTTGTTCCTAAAGACACTGCGGATGGAAAGAAGTCAGTATCAAAAGGTTATTAACAGGGCGATTCTGTTTGTATAACATTCCGAAAAAAAGGACAAGACTACAAAGGCCATGGCACATCTTAGGGAGGGATCAACAGTGGTTTTTCTTTTTCTGTTCTGTTTTCTTGGCTTTAGGGATTTCAGCCAGGAGTTATGGTGGTGGTGGGGGCAGTGTAACTCTAAAGAGACAGCACAAGGCAGTTTGGGAAGCAGGAAAACTGTTCTGTATCCTGATCATTGTGATGGTTAAAAAATCCATATGCATATGAAAATCACTATATTTGTAAATATTTCCAAAGAATCATTTCCACTATATGCTTTTTAAAATACAAACTTTAAATCATTTAAAAACTAAAAACTTTCTCACCTCCAAATAAAAAGTAGAGATGGCTTCTAGAGAAAACAAAGAATGCAGAGAGGCAAGGCTCTGAGGGATGAGCCAGAGTCCTATTGGGTCCAATTGTCCAAGGGGAAACTACAGTCTTGTTCATGGATTCTGTGAGACGATCTCACACTCTTTATGACGACTTCCCCTTCATGTTAAAGAGAGTGTAACTGGGCTGCCTCCCTGGCCATCCAGAATCCTAACTCATGTGGTAGGAGGTGGCTTGTTCAATTGTGCCTCCGTCACTCCAGTGTGGGGACGTAACTTCACCATGTAGCACAATAGCGATGCGTAGCTCATCACAGATGATGCCACGTCAACCTGCATCGGTTTTCCTACATGGAGCACTCACTGGAAAGACACCCTGGATGACAAAACACAGCCTTAGGTGGGGAAACAAGAAAAAGAAGCCTTCCCCTTTCAAGAATAAAAACTGAATGAGAGATGAGAACATGATTTGCAAGGGAGGTGCCAGCGCCCAGTTGGGATTGAGCCCTGACTCTGATCTTCCCTTTGAATCCAGGTCATTGATAAGGGACACCTGAGCGTGTCACAGTGCTGAGAGAGCCCCACGCCACCTCAACATGCACAGGTTTTACTGCACGGACTGAAAACCACATTCCTAACGCCTGACCCACTAAGTCCTAACCACTGCTAAGAGGTCTTTCTCCCTACAGTTGCTGCATAATGCTATAAGTGCTTGTTAAATCTAAGGAATGTTTAAGTGGCATGGCATTCATACACAGTTTAGCTGACCTTATGGGGAAGTTTCCACAGAGCATGCCGGGAAATGTTCCATGAGACTAGCCTGCTAGTGAAGTTTCCTTCCAGAGTAGGGTTGGCACTAAGGGAGGTCTAATGTAGAAACCCTTTGTTTTTTCTTTTCTTTTCTTTTTAAAAATATTATTTGATTGATAAATCTTATTGGTACACACTTATGGGGTATGATATTTTCATATATGTGTACAATGTGGAATGATTTAATCAAACTAATTTTTGTTTGATACCAGGGATTGAACTCAGGGGCACCCGACCACTGAGCCACATCGCCAGCCCTATTTGGTATTTTATTTAGAGACAGGATCTCACTGAGTTGCCTAGTACCTTGCCTTTGCTGAGGCTGGCTTTGAACTGGAGATCCTCCTGCCTCAGCCTCCCGGGCCACTGGGATTACAGGTGTGTGCCCCTATGCTCAGCTAATTAACATTTTTTTACCTCATTTTTTTTTTAAATAATGAAACATCTGAAACTTACTCTGTTCTTTTGAAATAGGTAATACTTTTTATTGACTAGAGTTGCCCACTTTGAAGTAGATCTCAAAACGTGTTCCTCCTATTTAAAACTGTGTACTCTTTGATCAACTCTCATTTCCTCCCTCCCCACACCCCACACCCTTGGTGACCACCATTCAGCTTCTATGAGCTCAACTTTTTAGACTTTACACTGAAATGAGATGGTGCAATATTTGTCTTTCTGCATCTTATTTTACTTGGCATGACAACCTCTAGATTCATCCATGTTAACACAAATAACAGGATGCTCTCATTTTTTAAGGCTGAATTGTAGTCCATTGCATATATGCGGGTATACATATATATGTGTGTACACACACACTTGAGTGCACACACACACACACACACACATTTTCTTTATCCATTCATCTGTTGATGGACCCTCAGGTTGATCCCATCTTTTGCTATTGTGACTACTGAAGCAATGAACATGGGAGTACAAAATCTCTTTGACATTTTAATTTTAGTTCCTGGATCTAGTTCCAGCACTGAGATGACTAAATCATATGATACTTTTCTGTTTAGTTTTTTGAGGAAATGTCAGTTCATCTTTTTCTGATAACTAAAGAGGTAAGCATTAGAACTCTCCTCTGTCCGTGTGGGGATGTAACTTTGCCATATAGCAATATAGTGATGCATAGTTCATCACTATATTATGAATGAATAAACTCTGATATGTTTGTACAATGGAATATCATACAGATGCAAAAAGGAATACACCGTGTGTGAGTCACATGAGAGCTTGCATTGTTCCCAAAGACACTGTACTGATGGAGAGAAGCCAGTATCAAAAGGTTATAATATACACCCCCACCAAAACGTCCAAGAGTTCCCTTTTCTCCACATCTTTGCTAATACTTTCTCTTTTGTTTTTTTTTTCATAAACACCATTCTAGCAGGTGGTTTTAATTTGCATTTTCCTAATGATTAGTGATACTGAGCATTTCCCCCCAAATGACAAATATCTGAGGTATCCTATTTATTTTATTCCTCATGAAGATATATTCCACCCAGGGCCAAATTTTGAGAGCATCTCATTTTTCAGGACTGTACTTCTCCCCACTAGTACACAAGATTAAAGAGGGAACTACCCTAGGGGTGTTCATTCATTTGCTTACTAATTTATACACCAAAAATAATAAATTTTAAATTTTTCTTCAGTGCAGCCAACATTTGCTGAGAAACCGAGAGAGAGAGAGAGAGAGAGAGAGAGAGAGAGAGAGAGAGAGAGAGAGAGAGAGAGAGCGCTACAGGACTTAAGGAGTCCACAGCCACATCAGGGAAACAGATTTTCCAATAAATACCATAAATTAGAGGCAGATCATTATTGGGAAATGACACCGAGGAAGGAGTGAAGGACAGAAATGGTATGAGGCAGCTTTGGGGGGGGGGGAATAAAACACAGGTTTTAAAAGATGAGAAGGAGTTTTCCATGTTTCCAATCAGGGACGAGCCATCTAGACTGAGGGGACACACGTAGTGCCCAGAGGTATTACATTGTGCAGCGGATTTGGGGAACCTACGAATTCTGAAGAGGCAAGCAGGGGGAGGTACGCAGGTTGGGCTTTGCTCTGAAAGGGCCTGAGCATCTGGGTGGAGTTTTAAACAGATGCCACACCTGCACAAATCTGTGTTTCAGAAACGTCCGTCTGGTGGCAACAGGGATGACTGATTACAGCTGGGTAAAATCTGATGGGAAAGAGGTAAATGAGGAGCCCAAAGCTGGAACCCAGGTGAGACGATTAAGCAGCAGTGGGGGTAAAGTCCAGAAGACACCTTTAGAAGGGAAAATTGATTTCTTGGGAGGTTTAAAGAAAGAGACCAGGATGCTACTCACATTTGCAATTTGGTATTCCAGATGCATAATAGGATAATGGTGTCAAGAGAAGGAGGAACATGAAGAGAGGAAGAGAAGAAATATTGAATTCAAGAGGGAAATGGTTTCTTTTTTTTTTTCTATCAAAAAGACGGGGGGGGGGGAAATCAGCAGGATTACCTATTCTTGGAACAAGAATTTTATTTTGTCAACCTAGCAATGCCCTGATAATCTTGATTTATCTCTTTTAGTTTATGTGAAAGAAATAAGGATTAAAGAGGCAGGATGAGGAAACCGGGAGACTTTTTAGAAGACTGGGAAATAAGACCTCTTCTAAAATACTCATGGTCAGTGTGAGATGGAGAGGTGAAGCCACATTGATCATGAACAGCCCTCAAAATGAAATGAAGACTGCTGAAAGAGGCCCCTGACTCCAAGCTCAAAGGAATGACTTAGGAAGTCAGCAATCCAATCACCATCTCTGCATACGAGTAGGTTTGGGAGATTTTCAGAAATTTAAGAAACAATGAAAAAGGCAAAGGTCCTTTTGATTATGAAATTTCTGCTTGACCACCAAGACTTGGTGTAGCATTAAGATCATCATTGTAATATGGAATTCTATTTTTCATTTGGAAAATAAGGAAGGCTTATGCCTTACTGCTCCTATAATCAGCAAAAAGACAAGAATGGCACATCTGTAAGACTGAGTGGTAGAAATTTTATTTTAAAAGATGATTTTGCAATTTAGAATTTAAAAGGAAATATTGCTGCCTTTATATTCATAAAATTTCTATTATATAAGCTGTCGTAAACAGTCTCAATTCATCAGCTGATATATATATATACATTTCTCATCCTTTCTATAAAAATTCTGAACTATGCTCTAGATGTTAGGTAAATGCCCTGTCCCACTGGTTGAGGTATGTATTTGCCAATAATGTTAATTTCTTATATAAATTCTATTTTATATGCACTATAATTAAATATTAAATAATCTGATAAAATGTGATTGCAAAAAGAAAGAGTTGAATGTTTTAGAAAGACTATAGAGTCAAATTGTTTTAAAAAAGAGCTAGAGGAGTGTGGGTGGGCGGGAGGGAGAGTGGACTCTCACCTCCTAGAACCTTCGCACCTTCGCAGTACTCTCTGACTACACTGCTACTCTTCCAGGTTCAGCATCAGGGCTCTCCTGGATTACGGCCAACGAGCTCCTAATTGATCCCTTCTTACCACAAAGTGACCTTTCTAAAATATGAGATCATGTGAGCCTCTTGGTGAGTTTCTTGATTCAAATTCTGTAGTTTCCCTTTGTCTTAAAATAACATCCAGCAGGGGTGGGGGCGCACCCCTGTAATCCCAGCGGCTCCAGAGGCTGAGGCCGGAGGATCACAAGTTCAAAGCCAGCCTCAGTGAGACCCTGTCTCTAAATCGAATACAAAATGGGCTGGGGATGTGGCTTAGTGGTTAAGCACCCCTGAGTTCAATCCCCATTACCAAAAATAAATAAAATGACATCCATACTCCTTAATGCAGTTTAAGGGCCCTGTAGGATTACCATCTAATTACAGCTCCAGCCTCATATCCCTACTTTCCTTTTAGGCTGTCAACCCTCATTCCGCGGCCACATTAGGCTAGCTCTTACCTCCTGGGCTTGAGAACACTTTTTCTTGGTACTTTCCCCTGCCCATTTCCATTTCCTCCTACCCACCAAAAAGTAGCTTCTTGTGGATTTCTCCCACTTATCCTATGATTCCCAACAGGGACACTGCTTCTACAAATCACCTTCATGAGCCCCCATCCTGCCCGGCTGGTTTAGGTGCCCTCCTAAGCATTTCCAAAATACCCTATGCCTACCTATCTATGGCACATTTCCATCTTGTGTTGTAATCTTATAAGGGCAAGGGCAGTGTCTTCTTCACTGCTGTACCCCCAGTGCCTGATAAAGAGCCATTTCTTAATAAAGATATAGGGAGTGAGTGACTGAAGGAAGGGGTTCCTGCAAGTAGCTTGGGCTAACAATGGAAGCTTTTTTGAAGGGCAACCTCATTACATTATTTATTATTTATTATTTACTGCCTTCTTTTGTACTAGAGTGTTTAATACTCTGAAGCTTAAACTTTATTCCTGAGGCCTTGCAGAGGAATCGTATCCTGGAACTTCTCAGGATCTATTCCTTATTCCTACATAAAAATAATGTGCTTCAGCACCCTCACTTGGCTTATCATTAGTTCAGTCATGAGGTAACTTGTTTTTTATTTTATTGCCCTATCACAAAGCCATCTGTCATCAGTATTGTAGGGCATAGGATTTCATCTGACCTGAAAAGCTGTATTTTCTGAGAGGAAATAAAACACTCTTGCATTAATTTATTTAGCATGTACTAAGCACTTACAGTGTACAGCCATACAAAAGTGAGGTCTGTCATAAATGCTTTACTTATTTCTAAGGGTTAGGTATGGCATATGGAGAAGATGCTAAACAGTCTTTTGTCAGCTGGAAACTCAACCTTGTTCTGAAATTTTTTCCATAAAGAGAGCAAATCAGCTAATCATGACTCCAGAGATAAAACAGCAGAGATGGGTGAGTTTTCATTGACCATACCTTAGTTCAGGTCCCCACCAATTGGCTGCTCCAGTAGCTCAGTAACCTATCCCACCAGGTGGTCTAAGCTGAGGATGCTGATGCTGATGATGCTGCTGCTGATGATTATTACTATTTGATTAATTGCCAAAATATAAAAATACAGATTTGCTTGGAATAAAAGCATTCACATGTAGCAATCACAGCTGAGTAAAACATGGTTGCTCCCTTTGGACAGGTCATATTCTTTCCTGTCCCCAGCCAACTGTTTCAGTCACATACTTCCCTGTTGACTTTCAAGATTATGATCCTTTATGTATGATAAAATCTAGACTCACTTAAAAGTCCTATTCCACCTGTTTTCTGGTCATCTTTCCAGCATCTTTTCTTCTGTATTCCAATATTCTAGTTACTCTGACATGATGGAAAATGGTCACAATATACCCTTCGTGTTCCTATCTCTCAATCCATATGCTGTTTCACTGTCTGGCCAATGCCTTTAATTAAGGACATAAAAAAGAGTCACAGTGGAGAGAGAACACGCTGTAGGAAAGCTACAGAGTTTCTCACCTGACAAAGCATTAGAGAGACAACCCTATATTAGGAAGCCACAGAAATGATCACCCATCTGTGTCAAACCCGTGCTTAGTCTGAATCTGTCATTGAATTTGCTTTAGAATAAACTTCTTTATTAGGAAACCAAGTGAAGGGCCCTGTAATCCTGCCTGGTCCTCAGGTTTTCACACCACAGCAATGAGAACACCTGGTGTCACACTGGTCATTACCACAATGGGTCATGGCAACACTTAGCTGATCACTCTGGCAAAGGAAAGCAGAGAAGGGGCAAGGTTGGTGACAGTTCATCCTAGGGAAAGATCAACTGTATTGTAAAGCTTTCTTTACTTCAAAGAAGTAAATTATTTTCTTCTTCCAGGTAGAATGTAAAAACTAGTTTTCTTCATCCTAGGGTGGGCAGCAGTTCAGTGTCTGTCCAGTAGAGGGCGCGTTCCTACCTGCTTACAAAGAAAACACTCAATACATAGGAATGTTTAGATTTAGAAGAAAGAATAAGAGCTTGAAAAATGGTTTGACATAAAATCATGCCAACAAGGGGTGTTAGTGTCTTGAGGACCATCTAAGATAACAGAAAAGTAGAACATCACCCAACAAGGAAGCTCCTAGAGATCCATCCAAAGTTCACTTTGGACCCAACTGCCTGGGTCACAGAAAGACAGTAACACATAGCCAGTCCAGGCTGGGGCAGAATGGCTATAGAAGGACCCAGGGTCTCATAAGCAGTTCAAACTAGTGAGATATAGATTTCTACCTACAGGAATGATAATGATGATAATGGTCAATCACATTATTTTGCTGTAGAATATATCCTGTGCAAACATACACACACACACACACACACACACACACACACACACACACAACCCAAAACGATTTATAGTGATAATGTCTTACCAGAACCTGGGTTTCTGAACAGGCATGACCTACAGAACACCACATCCAGTTTAAGGGAGGGTAAATACAAGTAAATACAGGCTCTTTCTACTCCAACCATAAGATTTCTGTAACACAGTTTCTGGATGAATTAAGCTAACCGTGTCCCAAGCTAAGGTTTAGAATAAAAGTAGGCTAGTGTTTTCCTAGTCCTTTCCTCCAAAGGGTTTAAGCCCTCATTTCAGCCTTCTAGGTCTTGCTTCTCTGATGCCAAATACAAGTGAACCATTAAGGAGGATGTTCAAGGAAATCATGCCCCAGAATAGCAAAGAGATCAATGCACCCACAAAGGTGGAACAGAGCTTATCTACACTGTCGGGGCTACAGACACAGTGCTTGAGGCTTACTGGACTTTTCAAGGGCTTATGAAGACATAATAAAAAACTGGATAGGATGGGGATGGGGTTGTAGCTCAGTGGCTGAGTGCTTGCCAAGCACGTGTGAGGCACTGGGTTCAATCCTCAGCATCACATGAAAATTAAAAACAAACAAATAAAAAACCTATGTAAACTCCCCAATGGCTCAGGAGGCTGAGGCAGGAGGATCATAAGTTCAAAGCCAGCCTCAGCAACTAAGCAAGGCCCTAAGCAACACAGTGAGACCCTGTCTCACTGTAAAATATTTTTTTTTTAAAAAAAGGGGGGGCTGGGATATGGCTCAGTGGTTAAGCAAGCCTGGGTTCAATCCCTGGTACCAAAGAAAAATGAACTGTACAGATGCTAAATTAGGGGAAAAAAATGCCTGTGCAGTATTTGGCATGGCCCAGGATCTGTTCTAAGAGCTTCTCTTACACCAACTCATTTGCTCTTTAGCATAGTTCTGATACTGTTATTTCCGTCTCCACATTACAGCTTGGGAAACTGAGGCACAAGGTAGCTAATTTCTCTGCTGGTAAATGGTAAGGTCAGGATTTGAATTTAAGCAACTGTTTCCTGAGTCCTTGATTCTGATCTCTAAGCCAGGACCCCTCTCTAAACAATATATCTTTTTTCAGAATCTGTAAGATGTAACATTTGGCCAAATAGAAAACTGTACTGCAACTCTACTCTTAAAGTTGCATATAAATTGCATTTATTAGGGATGTAGTACACTTTAGTAAAATTTAAATTGAAAGTCGAAAAGGTCAGGCCCAGAAAAGATTTTAAAGTGGCTCTGATCCTAGGTCTTCAGAGCCCTAAGGTCTTTGTTGAAGAACTTGAGATAGTGCCAGAGAGTCACAGGAAAGAACTCACTGCTGAGACTGAGGGCCTCTATGAAAATGCCATCTCTTCCTTCACAGCCTAATAACGTCCTTGCTGACCACTCTAGGCCAAGGATTGCCTAACTATTTCTACAGAAGATCATATAGTAAATAGTTCAGGTTTTGCAGATCATTAGCTGTTCATTGTAGCTACTGAACTCTGCCATCCTAGCGCTAAAGCACCCATGGCTAACACATAAATGAACTGGTATAAAACTTCATTCATGGGCTGAGGTCGTAGCTCAGTGGTAGAGCACTTGCCTAGTTCTCATGAGGTACTGGGTTCAATTCTCAGCACCACATAGAAAACAAACAGATAAACAAAATAAAGGTATTGTGTCCATCTACAACTAAAAATATTCTTTTTAAAAAACTTCCATTTATGAACAGTGAAATTTGAATTTCTGTAATGTTCATATGTTAGAGAATATATTCTTCTTTTGATTAGTTTTAATAATTTCAAATTATAAAACCATTCTCAGCACACAGGCAGGCAGGCAGGCAGGCAGGTACCTGGGGCCTTGGTGTGCCTGGCTCCATCTCCTTGAAATCTGAAGGGGTGAGGACATAAGAACCAGGAGGGAGAAGCCTGAGCGCCACCTAGGGCCAGAAAGTCTACTTTCACTCCTAGAATAATGAGACATTTTGGTAAACAAATTAACTGGCCTTGTGGTTCTTAATCTAGAAGTAAAACAGAATTATCCAAGGTAGTTATTAAAAATAAAAATTTTCAGTCTGTACCACCAGAGAGTTGTGATTCAGTCACAGGCTTCGGTGAGGAATCTTTTATTTTAAAAGCATACCATTCACTGATTCAAGATGTCTTCAAGATGTGACTGGCATACCAGGAAAGTATTAAGGTTTTGTACTAAAGTTTAAGAAGAAAACAATAGAATTGCTTTCTGAATTATTTTTCCTCAAAAAGAAAGAGAAAAACAGACAAAACAAG